TAGACCAGAAGCTCTGGATCCAGCTTTATGTCGGCCTGGACGTTTCTCCAGGAAAATTTTAGTGGGGGAACCAGATGAAGATGGAAGGAGAAAGATCCTGGCCGTACACTTAAGAGGAGTGCCCCTTGAGGAAGACCTGGAGCTTGTTTGTGACCTGGTTGCATCTCTTACTCAAGGCTTTGTAGGTGCTGACCTTGCTAACATTGTCAATGAAGCTGCTTTACTTGCTGCTCGCAGAGGTAAGATTTAGACATATTGCACTTATTACCACTGTTTCATTGCATTCAAAAGTGCTTAGCCTCTTGTTGGTTGATTTGTGTAGCTAGCTAGTTTATGCATATTATTGTAAATGTGTATAATTGGTAGCTAGCTGTTTTATTTGTGTTACTATAAATGTGTACCAACTATAAGTGCCGTTCCTTCTCCCTCAGAAAAGGAAAAAGAAAAAATAAAGGAACTAAAAAGGAGGGCCAGAAATGGAAGAAAAAATTAGGAAGGTTTTTGATTGACGAGTATTCTATATCCCCTGCTCACCCCTGCATTAGCAGTGCTGTAATGTTTCTTTATTACAGCCAAGCACTTCTTCCTATTTAGTTCCATTTTTTTTAAAAGATAAATATGGTTTCCGTTTATATAGTACATGTAGAGCCTTCTTTCTCCCTCAGCTTAAGAATTTTGTTGCTGCTCTTTTATGAGATGGTGGAGAACTATGCTTCTTATTCTACCATCAAAGAAAAGACAACTTTGTTTTTCTGCTTTAACTGACAAGACTGATTGGCATAGTCTTTTCTAATAACAATGTTACATTTATATTCATGTTTTACAGGGGCTGATTCTGTCTCAAGGGAAGACATAATGGAATCCATAGAAAGAGCAAAATTTGGGATAAATGACAAGCAATTTAGCCAAGGTACAATAGGCAAGGAACTGGAAAAACTATTCCCTTGGGTTCCTTCTTTCATGAGGAGGAATAATATGAGAAGTGATGCAATACAAGGACCTTTGGGGTATCAAACACTCAGCTGAAATATATGTTCTTAACCCTCTTGTTTATATAATGTTTTCTCTACATGATCAAGAGTGTAATCCGCAGATGAGTTTAAATGGCGAATCATGGTCAGTGAAGATTCATATAGCCGATCCCAACTTGTTTGGGATTGAGGCATAGTTGTTGTATCATGAGTGTAACGCGGAAATTTATAGATGAAATTTTTTGGACTGCTGTTAACAGAGACGTAGTTGTTGCATTAGGACGTCACCATATTGTTTCGGGACTACTGCAATAATGTTTTTATAATTTGGAAATTTTATACTCAACCATAATCATCCAAGTAGCTCTGAGCACTGTTTTATGGTGGATGTACTAATATGAAATTTGTGAGCTTAGTTGATCAGTTACCTGAGTTGAATATATCCCTTTCTGCTAGGAAATTATATTGGCATTTATGAACATGAACTTTGATCATTTTCTTTTCCCAGCAAGTGCAATCTCCTTTTATTTTCTTTTCCCTATGCTAAGTGTTAACTTGAAAATTGTCATTGAGATATTTATAGGCAACAAATGGGTCCTTTCAAATATTTGTATGAAAAGTTGACTGTTTCTTTTCTGAAAGTAACACTACCCATCCAGGAAAAAATTATTCAGGCATGTAATTTGTGTTCATTGGTGGTCTTATTAATGATTTGGTTTTGCTTTAGATCATTGAAGCAGTTCCCTGTTGTTTGCAGTGCCAATGCANTATATATGTGTGTGTGTGTGTGTGTGTGTGTGTACGAATTGACTTTGTATCCAACAATTATCATACAGACTTAACTATAAACTACCATCAAGGGTTGTGGTAGGATGGATATCATCCTGCTACCCTTAATCATACGTCTCACCTTTGAACTCTGAGAAGGGAAAAATTCTGATAGGAACGCTTTCCCCTTTAATTGGTGTGAATGCGCTAAGTCATGCTAATGCGGGTACAGGACGCTGATGGGAAGAAGACTTACCTGTAAACTAACTTTCTCCTACATAGATCTTTATTCTCTAGTCTTTCAAGAAGTCTTAGACGTCAAAAACCCGTTTTACGTGGATCCTACATCAAACTAAAGAAGGCAATTATATGTTGAGATTAATGTAATCATTTTCTAGTAGAGATCGATGTGAGAAACCAAAGTGCAAAAATATGAGTCGAAACAGTAATAGGCATTTTAGGAAATTTCCCTGTCGATTGATATTGCTCGAAAATTGCTATGCAAGCGCATCAAGAAACACAGACAGTACGTTAGACTAGACTGCTTCATAGAGACATGAATGCGATATACTTCGTGCACTTATAATGGATCCATATTTACTGAAGAAGATAGAGACAGTTTCTATTAATTCCAATAATGAACAATACTAAGAACAAGGAACTAAAATAAAAGGAAAACAAGAATGGAGGGAGGTTCCAGAATGCTCCAACAAGAGCTAAGCCAAAATAAAGAAAATACTTAGTATTCGCGTAAGGATCTTCTCCGCAGCTATCTCACTTTATATCCATATAGCCTTGTCTTAGCCAGGGTCCCAAACGTCATTTGACAGGTTCTTTGGCGGATATTTGGGCATGCTTCTCTTTTTAATGGATCCACTTTCACCACCTTTGTTATCTTGGGCCGCATTCATAACAATACCCCCACTGTCAATAAGAACCTTGTCCTCAAGGTTCAGATTAGGAAAAACGGTTGTAGAACACTCCCACCAAATTTCTCCAGACCAAAGTGCTCCATTGTAAGAAATACTGCTTTTGAAACTGTAGGGGGATAGAGCTCCATTGCCAATGATATGCAGGCACCACCAAAATTAAGTCCCACCAAAAACACCCTCTCCCCGTCAGCAAGCTTTTCAAGAAAATCATGGAGTGGTTTTGCATACTGTGATAGGCTGGTGATGCTATTTGTGTCAAAAGAATGAATGTTTGAACTAGTTAACTTTACTGCAGTCATTTTAAATCCAGCCTTGTCTAACAGCGCAATGGTTTTATACCAACACCAAGCTCTTAATCCACCACAATGGACAAGGATATAATGGTTCTTCTTTAAATCATCAATTGTTAATTCCTTGATTCTATCCATGGTCAAGATATCACTCCTTGATTCGAGGTACCTTATTGTAGAGCCAAGATCAGAAGAGCATGCATATTTATACCTTCACATCATATCATCAAATACCTTGTGTGGAGTGGTCACTGCTCTATTAGGACAAGGAACTGCTGCGAAAATGTCCTTCGCTGGCTTTATATTGAACATCTTGCTGCCAAACTCCATGTAAAGCTTCTGTCCAGATTCGCTGACCCATAATTTTCCTTCGACATTGCTCAACCAAATAGCTAGCATTATCGCCAGCACAAGATCCTGTTGCACATTTTCTGATAACAAGTCTAGCTGCTGAACCGGGATCAAATGGGAAATGAAGTAATGAGCAGTCACATTTTTAGGCATAAGCGCATACCTATACAGTCCACTAGATTCAGGCATTTGATCGAACATGTTGTAAGCAATTCTAGGTCGCTCAAAATGTAAACAAAACTCCAGCTGACTGTTGAAGAAAACAATACCCAAATCAGGTTCTCGAAAGCAAGTACGAAATCCTAAATCAAATTCTACCTCAGAGTATGTGATAATAGGAGCAACAGGCAGAACTTTGAAACCCTCTAGCTCTGACAATGTATCCCCAACTTTAATAACAAGAGATTGTGGATCAAGAGCTGTTGAGGTTTCATCGACTAAACTAAAGTCACTCTCACTGACAATGACTAACCCAACACCGCAATACTAAAAAAGGGAAAAACCGACTGCCAAAATGGATGATGTTGGTCGGTAATTGGCAAAAACCGACCGATTTGTGGCTGTCGGTAAACGTGTAGTCGACAGAGCCAACCTACATTTCAGTCGGTGAATTAAATTTCACAAGCGATCAAAAAAGAAAAAAACCAACCGAAATCGTCGATACTTTTATTTATGTAATAAAAAATACACAATCTGAGAATTAAACCGGGGTCTATACTAAAAAATATTCAACATGTTATAAGGTCACCTAAACCGACTATATATAGCAAGGGAAATTAAACTTGTTACACAGAAAATAAAACATATATACAACATGTTATAATAGATTAAATTATGTTGACGGTGTATATAAGTCAAATCTTAATTAGGATAATCATCCACCAGTAACATGTGGAGATTGTTTCGTCCACTGATTAACAAGTGTTGGACAGAATTAAAGTTGTCCTAATCAAATGGCACTGATGTCGTCCGATATTTATTCAAAGCTGCACACATATTGTCGCACATCCCTTCTTGCAGCCTATATAAACCTTAGCCATTTGTTTTATTTTTTCAACATCACTAGTGATCAGTAACAAAAAACATTCTCTATTTATATTATTTATTTTGTACGTACGTTTAGTTCCTATTGCAAGATGGATTCTCAGAAAGCCAGTTACCATGCAGGAGAAGTTAAGGGCCAAACTCAGGTAATGATCCGTCTCAAACTTTACATTCTTTAATTAAGCAGATAGATAAATGTTGGATTAATTGACATGTGGTGTTGGCTCATAATATATATTCTGCTGAATATATATTTCAGGAGAAAGCTAGCCAGATGATGGACAAAGCTAGAGATACAGTCCAATCTGCTCAGCAATCCATGCAGGAGGTTTGCCATGTCACCTTCTATTTTCTCCCTCTGTTTCATTTTATATAGCAGTGGAATTGAATATGAAGAATAAGTAATTAAGAAAGAAAGACTTCGTCTGGCATATATTATAATTACCCTTAGAACTCATGGCCTTAAATATACCATAATATTTCTATAGTTATAATTTATTAGAGCATGCCATATTATTATAAAAGAGGAAGTTTTATAAAGTAAAAGAGTTTTCTAATTAATATAGAAAAGTATCATCTTTTCATAACAGACGAATTACCGCTATATAAAATTGAGCAGAGGAAACAGTAATATTGCATATATATATAGAGAGATACAGAGAGAGGGAGAAGGAGAGAAAATTATATTAAATGCTCTTTAATTAATATCATAATATTAAGTCATTAAAATTGATGGCAGACTGGGCAGCAGATGAAGGCTAAGGCACAAGGGGCTGCTGATGCAGTGAAAGATACTGTTGGAGCCAACAAGTGAATTGGAGAAATTCGATTTTTGGTTTTCTTTAGTATTTATTTCGTTTTCGTAACCGACATAACTTATTTTGGATTGAGGCATAGTTACTGTTATTTCTTTATTTAGAATTAGTATTGAGATAAAGGCATTAAGTTCGTTAAAGAGCTAGTGCATATATAGGTCTCTTCTTTCAACATGTAGATCGAGAGACCACTCAGTGAATTTCATTAATTATTCATTAAATACCTATGTTCAACGCATGCATTTCATTGTTTTCAACTTCTCCTAATTAAGGGTATTATCTTTCCGTGGCACTTAATAATACCGGAGTCCATCATTCTAATAAAGGGATTCACAAAAGTGTAAAATCGCACACTTAAAAAAAGTTAGAAACACTATCGACCTAAAACAATTTTAATTTGAGTTATCTTCATCTCTGCACTAAAATCGGCTTCCTTTATGTCAAGAGATTCATTACACACAAAAGAATTTAATTTTTATCCTATTTACATAATATAATTTTTCGATAAATGAGATTCAATTGAACCCTATTCGAACTATGTAGCTCCAGCTCATAGACACTGGAAACTGCGCGATGAAGTTGTACAATATGATATATGAAATCATAAAAACTCATTAATTGCAAAAACTAGAAGAACCAATGAGCTGATAATATATATTTTTATTATGCTAATCACGGCCTTCACTGTAAAAGGCTATATTCTTTGCCATGCAAAAACAAGTTAGAGCAATACACAGGTATACAATGTAGATAGAAACTTATATAACAAAAAGTTTGGCAAATGTACATAAGTAATGTTCAATTACAAAACAGTTAAGAATTTGGAATCAGGTTTAGGGGGTCGACGACTAAAAAGCAGTAACAGATAGATATTGATAGAAGTATGATACTATCGGTATGATTGTAATACCAAACTAATTATTATTTAGTTTGATTAAGGGAATGGTTTAATTCCAAATTTTTGTGCTAGAACATTATAAATATATTGCGCAAAATCAAGTCAAGATAAGTGTTTTATAATAATTATGTAAAACAAATTTTCTAGTTCATTAAATGTAATCGGGGTATAGTTATTATAAATTCCATGTCTCAGTTTGATACTCTTTATAACATTATAAGTTTGCATTGTAAAACTTAATTCGACGTATCAAATAAATCAAGCGGAAGTCTAAAATAATTAATTAAACTATCAGTAATTATATATAATTGATTGATATTCGTACTCTTAACCTAGGGAATAAATTAAGTGTTTAATGTTGAATTAAAATTTTTAATAAAGATTGCGATTAGGAGTAATTCATAATTTATTATGCTAAGAATAGTCCATATTGAAAAGAGTCCTTACCATAATATTTAAGCCCTATATATTAATTATGTGGTCCCTGTGATGCCTAAGTTAAATAAGGATTTTAAGAAGTTGTTACTTGATTGGAAGAAAATATTAGTTAACCTAATCCTAATTTATCTTGGAAAGCAAGAAGTCTCAAAAACGTTACTCGATAAGATGCAGGAGGGAAAATCTTAATGTTTGTGGATATCTTCTAGGTTCAAGAGGTATATACGAATTTTTTCTTTGATAACATACGTTGATGTATTATCTATATTATATGCAAGATGATCTTGGTTGCTTTCGCTGCACATGATTTACACAAAACATTTCACTTGCCACTTAATAATTTAGGAAATTTGTGATATTTTAGGCGAATCCCATATTGGCAAAATACAAAACGATGTCGGATACATACGGAAGCAAACCTTAAATTCTAGTAACGCATTAAAGCCGTACAAACCTAATCCTACAGCAGACAGTATCAATCAATATACAAAAGATAAGTAATTATGTAGTTGAATGGACCTTTTTAAATCACTATTTATATTTTGAACTGTTAAAATATTTTGAAAAATAGCCAAATTCTAACGATAACCAGAATTGTGTAGCTACAATACTGAAAATTCTAGTGATCCCTTAAGATTTGTGGCAAATCCTGATGATCACCATAACTGTTGCGACCTTTAATTATACCTAGCATACTTTAAAATTCTAGCTCTTAAAGAAAATCCTATCTAAAAATTTTGGAATGAAGTAGAGGCACATTGTGTCATTCGCCCTATACAAAATGATTTTAAAAAAAGAGTAATTTTGTATAGAATTATAAAAGAAAAAGTAAGAAAAGAATACACACTTCTTTAATCCTTACTTTCGGCCGAACGGATTTTCAGCTCCAGCGTTGTATCTCAACGGCAAGTGAATATTTTGTGTTCTGTCCTCTTTACATTTACTTAAAATGTTATCCTTCGCTAACCTATATCTTATTGTCCGCTTAAGTTGATGTTCCTTTTTTTTTTTTTTCCTTCTTATTTCCCGCTTTTTATTTTGATTTCTACTATTTTGGGAATTGGGTTTTCTTTGAATGAATTTTTTTAGTTTATTGTGTGAAACCCATGTTAATTTTGTTGTATGTCCGTAAAGAAAGCAATTATTTTGAATTAAAGATGTTTTTCGTTTTATAATTACGGTGTCCAGGCCAGCTTGCTCTAGCATATTCACCGGTAACTCTGCCTACCATAGAAGAAATCACCTCACGTTTCTTTTTCCATTTATATTCATCTTACAACTCTTTCTATACCTAAAACTTATCCATCAAAGGGTGCAACCAAGTGGTTAAGAAAGTTCGAGGAGGACCACGAGGTCTCGGGTTTTACTCCTAGCAGAATAAATAAACATTAATTGATTTCTTACTATCTACCTAAGCCTTGATGAATAAAGTTATTCAGTATCCGTGCGGGTGGGACGTTCTCCACATATTAGAGCTCAGTTTGTGCTAGCTTCAGACAAGCCTTACTCTGATTCAGGTAAAAAGAGAGGTTATGATGCACAGACAGGAAGTGAGGGACACAATGAACATGGTTATGATGCGCAGAAGGGACCCAAGTGGTCCTGGTTACAATGCATAGACAGAGACCGGGACATGGTTATGATACACAGAAAGCACCTGACTATGATGGATACAGAGGATTTGTATATGATGCACAACCAAAGTCTCCAGCTATGATCCGTCATCCAAAGGCACTGTTGCAACTCAAGGACAGGCAACTCAAGGGTTATCCAACTCCACCTGGTCATGTTGGACGGGGATATGATACAACATCACACGTTGGAAAAAGTGACAAAACAGTAAGACCGTAGGGGAGGATTCAAGCGCAAAAGGGATAAGTGCACTCCAAATTACGTGAACCAATTTGTCAATTTGTCGTCCCAATCTCAGAAAGGGAACCAACTCTGCCACATCTGTTAGAGGCAGAGTAGTACTATTTTTCAGCTATCCACAAACGAGTCGCTCAGGTATATGAACTAATAAAGATTTGAGATTATCTCAATTGAAATATTAGAAGAGAAATGAACGAGAAGGTTCTAGAATGAGAGCTCCATCTGAGAGAAAAACCGAGCTAAGATATTTCTCAAATCATGATGGATACAATGAGTTTTGATCTGTATATATACACTACAACTAAAGCTAACTAACTTTACTAACTCTTCCGTTAAATCTATAACTCCCAATCCAATAATTAGTTATAACTAACTATCAGTCTAAACTCACTAGCTCACGTGCTGGTCACGTGCCATTCCTTTCTCAATACTCCTCCTCAAGCTAGGTGGTACAAATAGATTGAGCACTCCTAGCTTGCTCATCAGGTACTCATGTTGTGATCTTTCCAGGGCCCTTGTAAACAAGTCTGCGTCTTGGTCATTAGACATTACATACTTGGTTCTGACAATGCCTTGCTGAATTCTCTCCCGATGAAATGCAGATCTATCTCTATATGGTTTGTACGCTCGTGAAATATGGGATTTGCAGCAATTTGAATTGCTGTTTTGCTGTCACAATGCAACTCCACTAGCAATTCAACCTCTACACCCAACTCTTTGCATAGTCCTGTTAGCCATAAGATCTCCGAAACTCCTGCTGCCATGCTCTTGTACACTGCTTATGTTGAGCTTCTCGATACTGTACACTGCTTCTTTGATTTCTAGGATACTAGAGAACTTCCTAGCTTCATCACATATCCTGTTACTAATCTTCTAGAGACTGGGCATCACTGGGCATGATGCCTAGTCAGCATCCCGTAAAGCTGTGAGCTTTGTAGACAGTTTGGAGCTCATCATCAAGCCTAATCCTGGAGCACCTTTAATGTACCTGACAACCCTAACTGCTGCTTCCATGTGTGACTTCTTTGGACAGTGCATGAACTGATTTAACACATGTACTGCATAGCATATGTCTGGCCTTGTCATGGTGAGGTACAACAGCTTCCCCACCAGCCTTTGATATGGTCCTGCATCTGCCAACTTCTCATCTTCTTTTCAGTTTGTGTATTGATCGTATTCCATAGTAATAAATCTCTGATTGCATTCCATTGGTGTATTTGCTGGTTTTGATCCTGCCAGTCCAAGTTCAGTGATCAATTCCATTGTAAACTTCATTTGGTTCATCAATATCCCTTCTTTGGACCTTGCTATTTTAATTCCAAGAAAAAAACTTTAATTCCCCTAAGTCTTTAATTTTGAAATTGCACTGCAATATGGACTTATCAGACACTGATCATTCCCGGTTATGAGAATATTATCTACATATACTAGAATGATCACTAACTTTGTGCCTTGTTTCCTTGCGAACAAAGAATAATCAAAATGGCTCTGCACAAAACCTGAACTGAGTAGTGCCTCAGTCAATTTCAGATTCCATTGTTTGGAAGCTTGCTTCAAACTATAAAGGGATTTATATAGCCTACATACTTTCTCCCCCTGGCTTGAAAATCCCTGAGGTATGCACACATAGACTTCTTTAGTGAGATTCCCTTGGAGAAATGCATTGTAAATATTCATCTAGTGCAAATTCCAATTGTTTGCTGCTACTAAGTCTAGGACAACACTCACTGTCACCATCTTGACTACAGGAGAAAAAGTTTTTTGGTAGTCTAACCCCTCTACTTGATTGTATCCTTTTGCTACTAGTCTGCCTTGTATCTTTCAATCTCTCCATTGGCTCAATACTTTATCTTGAATATCCATTTACACCCAATAGGAACCTTTCCTGCTGGTAAGTCTACCAATGTCCAAGTTCCATTTTCTTTGAGTATAGTCAACTCTTGGTTTATAGCTTCAATTCATTTGGAATATGCTGCAGCTTCTTCATAGCTCACATACTCTCTTATGATGGTAATTTTGGATAGGTAAGACTGA